TCAAGAACTCAAGCCTCACTGTTCGGAGAAGGTTGAAACGGCGTGTCGCATCAGAATACATGGTGCTCGAGGACTAGCTGTGGGGATATACCCCGGTACCACAAGATGGTACATGGGCGCACCATCCGAGGTGGCCCGCCTGTGAGATCAAAGGCGTGCCCGGCGCTGCTTGGCGTGCACCGCAAGACATTGTAATAGTACCAAATAGGATACTTTACTTGTAACCTTGTCCCTTCGGAGTATATAAGGAGGGGCAAGGGTCCCCTAGAGGACAGATCCATACAGATCATACAGTATACATTTTCAATACAATACACCAAAGACACAGGGCGTAGGGTATTACGTCGATCGACGGCCCGAACTCGCTAAAATCGGTGTCTCTCGCGCTTTGTGTCACCATCTGTTTCCCGATCACACGCATCCTACCGATAATCTACCACCACGGCACCCCCTCGGTGGATCGCCACCATATTTCGTCGACAGACGCCATGCGCGACAGTGTCTCAACTGCTGTCCTTCTCCCATCGGCTCGCCAATTGCCGATTACCGCTGAGATGTTGGAAGTGCCGTGGATTCCGCACTGGCATGGGAGTGCAGCGGCCAAGGTCGCCGGGCGCGAGGCGCCACCGGGCGGTGATCGCGGACAGAGCGGTTCGTCAAAACACGGCGGCGGCTCGAACAGTCCTGGCACTCGGCCGGGTCCCAGCGACCGGACCACCCCCCCAGCTCCCCTACCCCGGCGCCGCCGACAGCTCCATCGTGGATGACCGCGAGCCCCTACCACCTGGTCACCCGGAGGAGCGGCGATGGGAGAGCGCGGTCATCGACAACGCAGAGGCGGGTCTTGGTAGCTCTCACGGCCATGGCGGTGATCGACGCAGCGCGCCGTGTCCATCGCCGACGCAGCACGCGCCATGCGCGAGCATCGACGGTGTGGCGGAGGGCTCATTCTCTGTCGCTCCGTTCTACCCAGAGAACTTCCTGGTCCGGTGCCGATCCATGCGGTCCGGGACAGAATTACAACTGCGTCGCCGTTGCATGTGCCCGGGCGTGGTTGGTGCTGCGTCCATGGACGCACTTTTTGCTCACGCGAAACAAAGAACGATGAAGTTCAAGGTCGCCATCGAGCTCGAGGGAGTTCCCCACATGCCTGGCGAGGACACGGCGGCCAAAATCTTGGCTCCCAGCTGCTGGCTACAGTCCGTCGATCCGCACTCCGCTGACAAGACTGACCTCTCCACATACAAGCTCTCGGCTTGGACGTGTGACCCAAGGGCCATCCCAAAGGTGGTGTGGTTGAACATCGCCGAGAACGAGATCGTGGGCGCCACGGCGAACAACCTCCACTTCGCAACCTTCCTCCATACCTCCGGCGGAAAGACGTCCTCAGCTACCGCGCGTTCTCGTGCATATCCGGAACGTTTACGACTTCGACACGGCCAACCCGTCGCCACCGCCTTCACCGCCGGAGTCCGGACGACGGCGACAATGGCCACGACAGCAACCCGAAAGGCACCACTTCCACCGGGGAACCGGGCCCCGCATTCAGGGTTCCGATGCAACCGGCGTCGCCGACGGAGAGGCCCGATGAACGACAACGGGGCCGGCGTGCATGGGGGCTGGACAAGAAACGTCAGCAACAACGTCATCACCGCAAATCGCGGCGCAGTTCCAGCGCATCTCAGGCAGCCACAATTACCGTCGGCTAGCGCGGGAAAAAAGGATACTCTGCCAGAGGTATCATAGGAAGGTGCAAAAGAACGAAAAAGCAGCACAATACCTTGCCAAGACCAGTGCCAGCTTGAAATCGGAATTCATTCCGTTGCCATAAACGACACAGAGCCAAGCCTTGCCTTGGACCCCATGGTCTTTGAGGCAGGGCTGCCCATGGTGTCGACCCCACCAAACAAGCAAGATACATCAGACTGAGCCATCACAGGACAACGACGATGCGTCCCCGGATGGACCCGGACAGACGACCGCAGAAGCAATGCTGTGCGGAGATCGTCAGCCGCCCGAGCAGCCCGCCATGGACCACGGGTTCGTTTCTGCCCCCCCCACCACCATTGGTCAAACTCTTTCTACCTAATACAATGATACGCATCGCTCGTGTGTATTCGAGAAAAAAAAATCCACAAGATAGTGCATTTTTGTATGCCACAGGCTAAGGTCACCTGAGAAATCCACCTGCATATACAACTATACAATGGGAAACAGGGGCGGCCTCGCCCATGCTTCGTTGACAGTCAGTCAGAACGTTCGCATGTCAGCACTCAGAACTGATGCTACCTCTAGTACCTACATACAGTTCGATATGCAAATTGCCACGTCAACAGTTGACAGTGATACCTGCATATGCGGGGTTTTTTGTTCTGAAAAAAAAAAGAAATTTCAGCAAGCAAAAATGAATGTCCGCTGTGTTCTGCTCTCCGATAGAAAGGTTTCCTGAAGTCGCATGTTCATTCATTTGTATGCGCCATCGATGTCCAGTATGAGAGTGACTGTGACTTGAAGGTTTGCCCAAATTCACAGCATGACAATCAGAGAGTCGATCGGCGCAGCTGTAACATCCCTAATCACAGCTTATGCGTCTGTTGATATTCTTTTCTGACGCGTTCCGGACAGTGTTCAGTTTCAGTACCGCACGTTTCTTCTACAGTGGTCTGGTCTCTATCAGCAACCTCTGATCACCACTCAAAAAAGATCTGAGAAAATATCAATCACTCATTGTAACCTGGATTTCTCTTCTTATTAAATGAATTAGCAGTGCTCCTGCTGTTTTTCAGAAAAGAAATACGAGGCAGTGCGATGGTAGCACACCCTTTGCACCTTGCAGCAGCTGGGATATGCAGTTCTGCACCCGCAGATTAACTGATTAAGAAACCACGGGCGCCTTTTCGCTTTTACTAAGCCCGCGACTTTCTTTTTGGCCCGTGACGCTGCCATGCTCTGGCTCGGCACATTCGACACCGCCGAGGCCGCGGCGCGAGCGCACGATGCCGCCATACTCGCCATCGCCGGTTCATTCGAGATTTGCTTACTTATGGCGTCGGATCAAAAGTTCAAAACACAACAGCTCGCATAAAAGCCAAACACAACCCGACTCGCTCTTAAAAACGTCTCTATTTCTTCCTTTGCGAACCTATAACAAAGCATGTTTCGAATTTCAATCTTACCCCACGCTCACGAGCACTTGAAGCCAAAATATCCCGTCCACACGCTTCCGAGCAGGGGATCTCCAGAATGCACGGACGAATCCAGAGCCACTAATAATTTACAACGGACCACAAATAGTATTTTTCCTTTTAAAACAAACAAAAACATGTCGCCATCGAAACGTCAACACGACACGACTGTTACCTTCCTGGGCCAGTCCCCGCATCAAACCCCACATCGAGGAACCAATTGAAAATCACCGTCACCGACGTCGCGTTCGCGTCGTGCGGGGCAGCAGGGAAGGGAAAGGGGTGGAAGGCGTGCGGAAATCTACCTCCTCCGGTTTGCAGAAATTCAGCATGTGCGCTAGCTTAGGCGCTCGCTGCATCCAGTATGTTTGGAACTGGTTCGGTTACTTTATCTCACAAGACTTCACAGTTCAAACTCGTGTGCGCATAAAATATCTGCATCCTCTTGAAGTCATTGTGACGCAAAGTTCGCAGCTGGAAAGAGTCTTGGATGATTCTTCCATTTCAAATCCGAAGGTTGGCAGCAGTTGAGATCAAATCTGCTTTCGGAGAGCAAAAATAAGCCAAACACAGAGAAAGGAACGGTAAGACGAGAATTAAGTCATCGATTGCGAGTTATATATGATAGGATGGTGCATAGTGGCACATTTATACTTCTTCCCGGTTGCTAAGTCCTATCCTCCATTTTCGTTTACTCAACGCCGCATCTTTTTTTTCCTCGAAATTATGATCGTGCGTCTTTTCTCTGCACAAACTTTTTCATTACTTGAAAACTCATATTATATGATTTGCTTCGAAAAAATACTTTATGTGTTATTTGGAGTTTTATCAACAATTTGCTTGTGTAGGTGGGGACATGGTATTTTCAGAGTCCTTTTGCGAGGAATTACAAAAGAATTTTTTTTTCAAAAAAATGTGAATTAGAAGAGTTGGTCGACGAAATATGAATCGGATACTCAATCTTAATATCCATAAGAACAATACATTCTTGTTACCACAAGATGTATTGCCCCGCTACAAATTATTTGATTATTTTTTAACTATATAAAAATATGTTGTAGAGGAAAAAAAAACGACAATTTATTGGTAAATCCCTGCATCTCAAGGCGAGGAGGAGAATCACTCTCCAGTCCCCATCACCCAACAGTACATGTCCACGTCCGCCTCTGCTTCGGTTGTGCAGGCGGGCCATGCCTAGATGCCCACCCCTGCAACACCTCTGTCAAGCAGCGAGCGGCTTTCCCCCATGGCCATTCCACTTCGGACCCAGGCCGGTCATTCAACCTGCTCTGCTGGCTGAAGCCACTCGATCGTTGAATCTTCTTTCCTTCTTGCAGTCAAAATCCTTCCAGTGAGTTACGCGAGCTGTCGCTTCACTGGGCGGAGGGGAGGCAGCAGCGGCGCTCTTTTCCCACAACGCGGTGAGGTCTCTTGTCTCATCGCCCCTTTCGGCCCTAGAGCCAAGACCCAAGAAGGCAAGAGACACAAGCTCTCAATATTTCTAGATGGCCGTCACTGACGTCGGACCCCACCCCACCACCGCACCGCCCCGCCGCAGTGGCTGACTTGGACCGCCACGCACGCCGATCCTCCACGCCACGCTGTCCATTTCCATTTCCATTTCCAGCTAATCGCTTCTCCCTCCCCGCGGCACTGACGACCAGTCACCAACGTACCACCTGCACCGAGTTGACCACTTACCTATATATACTTTCCTGCCTCCTCCCCCTCCCTCCATCCAAGTCCGAGCTCCATCGATCCCAGCACGACCGGAGCCACAGCCACCACGCCTACAGGATCTTCAGCGAGTCTGCAATGGACACGCCCTCGCCGCCGCTGATGCCCGCGTCGCTGGCCAGCGCGCGCGAGGTCAGGAACGCGGTCGCCGAGGCCATCGGGGCGTTCCGGCGGCGCTCGGAGGAGTCGGCATCGGCGGCGGCGGAGACGACGGCAGACGAGGACGAGGAGGGCAGTGGCTCTTCTGGCGCAACGCCGTCGCTGGACGTCACGTTCGAGCTCGACGACATGTTCAGATTCGGCGGCATGGTTGATTCCGCATCGTACTACGAGAGCTTGGCGCAGGGGCTGCTCGTGGACGCGCCGGCCGCCGCCGGAGCGGGAGCGTGGTGGGAGGACGTCGAGCATGGCACCGCTGACATCGCACTGTGGAGCTACTAGCGCATTACCAACCTGCTTCTCACAGATTCCAGATGGTTTTGTTTCCCAATCGAGAGAAACAGTACGTGCATCGGATAGTGAGGGATTTTACAATTTTAGAATCAGTATTGTGCTAGCTCTCTTGGTGCTCATGCTTCCTTTCTTATTTGGGGAAGCTAATTTGTAATTTTTTTAGAAATAGAGAAGAATGGCTCAGACATTTTCTAAAAATCTGGGGACTACTTCTGTTTGAAACCTGTGCATACTAGCAAGATTGGTGCGCTACCTCTAGAGGATGCGCTTCATCGTAATTGGTGATGAAGAGATAAAATGTAGATAAGAGCCCTCTATGATTTGGAGTGTACATGCACTCAGGCAGATAATCGAACTCAACAAAAGTTAGGAAGGATGGTCATTCTATGTGACACTGGAAGCGCATAAAAATACATCCATTAGTGTTCTTGGGATGTGCACGCTGAGCCAATAACGGCTCATTTATCAGAGGGGAGGACGGCACATGAGCATTCAAAAACGTGTACCTGGTGGAGAAGATGGCAATTGGCACTAGCATGGTTGATGATGACGTCCTGGGTGCTCCTCAGATACGATAGATCCATCGGAGGAGAGGCCGTCGGAGAGGAACGCCTCGCAGCATGGCGGGCTCCTCGCTCGTCAGCGGTCATAGTAGGCAGGTGGGCGGCGCGGGGACTCAACTGCAGAGCACCGCGCAGCTGCACATAATGCCTCAAGGACGCCCACATGAATAGGGCAGGGGAACAAAAAGGGGACGTTGATCTTCAAGCTAAGCAACCGAGAGCTGATAAGAAGAAGATGTGTCCGATCAAGAAGGAGATGAGCGCCGAGTCAAGCTCGCTGTGCAGCTGGGCATCGTCCTCGTCGGAGCACCACCAGACTGTGTGGACGTCGCCGCCGAAGAGGCCGGCAGGGCGGACCAAGTTCCGGGAGACGCGGCACCCCGTGTTCCGCGGCGTCCGGCGCCGGGGCAACGCCGGAAGGTGGGTGTGCAAGGTGCGCGTGCCGGGGAGGCGCGGCTGCAGGCTCTGGCTCGGCACGTTCGACACCGCCGAGGGCGCCGCGCGGGCGCACGACGCCGCCATGCTCGCCATCGCCGGCGCGGGCGCGTGCCTCAACTTCGCCGACTCCGCGTGGCTGCTCGCGGTCCCGGCCTCGTACGCCAGCCTCGCCGAGGTCCGCCACGCTGTCGCCGAGGCCGTGGAGGACTTCCAGCGCCGCGAGGCGCTCCCGGAGGAGGAGGAGGACGCGCGGTCGGCCGCGTCGTCGGCGCCTTCCTCCCCCGCCACCAGCGTCAAGGACGAGGTCTCCACCGACGGAGAGGAGTCCTCGCCGTTCGAGCTCGACGTGTTCAATGACATGAGCTGGGACTTGTACTACGCGAGCATGGCGCAGGCGATGCTCATGGAGCCGCCGTCCGCGGTCCCGGCGTTCGGCGACGACGGCTACGCCAACGCCGGCGACATGGCACTGTGGAGCTACTAGAACTGAAGCCGTTGTAGTTTGTACTTCGAATTTTGCATTTCTTTCTTTCTACTTTTGGGACCGTAATGGTAGTGGTTAGTGGTTACTGCTTGTGGCAATGAAACAGAGCGAGTTGGGAGCATGCCCTTGACGCTTGACTTTCCGACACTTTCTGCACCCAGCGGCTAACGAGCAGCGGTCTTCACATAAAACTGTCAGTTCGCAATCTAACGGTATGGGATGACAGACAATTCAAATTCTATCCCCAAATGGAAGTGTCTTTAGTGCCTTGGATGCACCGGTGGACCTAGGATCTGAGACCAGGGTAGTTCTAGTAAAAAAATTTCATGTGTGATACTATAAAATCCAAACAAAAAGTTCAACAAACATAGCTATAAATTAACCAAATTACGATAATACATTTAAAATGTTCGAAACTTACGTAAATACTTCCTCCATACTGGTAAAGAAAGTCGTTTAGAATATGATTTAGCATACCAAGGAGTGATTAATTAAGGGGTATTTCCCCTGTTTTCCCTTATTAAATAGGGTTGCGGGTATCACCTATCCAACAAACTTTTGTAGCTGGACTGGTAAGCGCGCTGCAGCCCGAGACAGGTGGTCCCCGGTTCGATCCCTCTCGGGCGCGTTATTTTTTTGAAGAGCTCGTGGATTTGCGGTGTCTTCGATCTGGGCTGAGACGAGAGTGACCGTGGGCGAGTTTTTGAAGAGCAGTAATAGAATTTTGTGCCAAATTTGTGGGTAGTCCTAGGACTGCCTGGAATACCATTGGGTCCGCTTACTGCTTGGATGGACGATGTAACGGCATTCATGAAAATTGTGCCTTGCACTTGAACTATGTTGGGGAAAAAATCATTCGAGATTTGCTTGCTTATGGCGTGGATCAAAAGTTCAAAACACAACAGCTCGCATAAAGCCAAAACAACCCGACTCGCTCTTAAAAACGTCTCTATTTCTTCCTTTGCGAACCTATAACAAAGCAAATGTTTCGAATTTCAATCTTCCCCCACGCTCACGAGCACTTGAAGCCAAAATATCCCGTCCACACGCTTCCGAGCAGGGGATCTCCAGAATGCACGGACGAATCCAGAGCCACTGATAATTTACAACGGACCACAAATAGTGTTTTTCCTTTTAAAAAAACAAAACATGTCGCCATCGAGACGTCAACACGACACGACTGTTACCCTCCTATTCTTTACAGAGCACAAGTTGAGCGCAGCGGTTAGCTGGAGCTCGCTAGCTAACAACAGCCGGCGCTCAAAAAAACCCCCGCTGCACGGAAGCTGCCTGGGCCGCTCGCCTCAAGGGGCAGAAGAAGGCAACGCGAAAACGGCGGCCGCGGGCAGGACGGCAGCCGCGGAGGAAAAAATAATTAAAAATCAGGCCGTCCCTCCGCGGCTGGGGGTGGTTTGCCTGCCTGGGCCTGTGGGGGCTCAGCTCACTCGGGACGCCGTCCCCGCGTCAGCGTCAACCCCCACGTCGAGGAACCAATTGAAAATCACCGTCACCGACGTCGCGTTCGCGTCGTGCGGGGCAGCTGGTCCCCTGGAGGCAGGCTGGAAGGCGTGCGGAAATCGGAAACGGCTTGCGGCGCCGGCCGCTTGCGGGCTGGATACGGCTAAGGAAACGGCTGTCGGCTGGATACGGCGGAGCGAGAGTGTGCTACCTCCTCCGGTATGCAGAAATTCAGCATGTGCGCTAGCTTAGGCGCTCGCTGTATCCAGTATGTTTGGAACTGATTCTTCCATTTCAAATCCGAAGGTTGGCAGCAGTTGAGATCAGGTGAAATGTTGCAAATCTGTTTCAAAAAAAAAATGTTGCAAATCTGCTTTCGTAGAGCAAAAATAAGCCAACACACAGAGAAAGGAACGGTAAGACGAGAATTAAGTCAGCGATTGTGAGTTATATGTGATAGGAGGGTGCATAGTGGCACATTTATACTTCTTCTCGGTTGCTAAGTCCTATCCTCCATTTTCGTTTACTTGACGCCGCATCTTTTTTTTTCTCTCGAAATTCTGATCGTGCGTCTTTTCTCTGCACAAACTTTTTCATTACTTGAAAACTCACATTATATGATTTGCTTCGAAAAATACTTCATAAGTGTTATTCGGAGTTTTATGAACAATTTGCTTGTGTAGGTGGGGACATGGTATTTTCGGAGTCCTTTTGCGAGGAATTACAAAAGAGATCTTTAAAAAAAAATGTGAATTAGAAGAGTTGGTCAACGAAATATGAATCGGAAACTCAATCTTGGTATCCATAAGAACAATACATTCTCGTTACCACGAGATGTATTGGCCGCTACAGATTATTTGATTATTTTTGAACTATATGAAAACCTGTTGTAGAGGAAAAAAAACATATGATCAAAATTGCTCCAACAATTTATTGGTAAAAGCCATCACTCCTGCATCTCAAAGCGAGAAAAAAAAGAAGAGAATCACTCTCCAGTCCCCATCACCCATCAGTACATGTCCACGTCCGCCTCTGCTTCGGTTGTGCAGGCGGGCCATGCCTAGATGCCCTCCCCTGCAACACCACTGTCAAGCAGCGAGCGGCTTTCCCCCATCCCCCACACGCCACCATCGTTCCCCAGTATGGCAGTATCTATTGGAACCAGCTGTTCCTTTGCCGCGGACAGCCGCCCCCGTTCGTCACCATGTCGTCTCCGCGTATCGCATCGCAGGCATACCTATAAATACCACCTCCCAAAAAACCACACCCTCCACACAGCACTCAAGCTCCTCAAGCTCAAGACAACCGAGCAGCTTCACTCCACTCTCAACACCGACCTCAAGCAGGGATCAGCACTTTAGCAGCAGCAGCAGGTAGCCATGGACATGGGCCGCCTCGAGCTCTCGCCATCCTCCTCCTCCTCCACCTCGGCGTCGTCCTCCTCGTCTGACCACAACAAGGAGGCGGTCTGGTCGCCGTCGTCCTCGTCCTCCCCGCAGCCCCCCAAGAAGCGCCCCGCGGGGCGCACCAAGTTCCGCGAGACGCGGCACCCGGTGTTCCGCGGCGTGCGTCGCCGGGGCGCCGCGGGCCGGTGGGTCTGCGAGGTGCGCGTCCCGGGGAACCGCGGCGCGCGGCTGTGGCTCGGCACCTACGTCGCCGCCGAGTCCGCGGCGCGCGCGCACGACGCCGCGATGCTCGCCCTGGGCCGCGGCCGATCGGGGGCGGGCTGCCTCAACTTCCCGGACTCCGCGCGGCTGCTCGCCGTGCCGCCGCCGTCCGCGCTCTCGGGCCTGGACGACGCCCGCCGCGCCGCCCTCGAGGCCGTCGCGGACTTCCAGAGCCGATTCGAGGCCGCCGCCAGCGGCGCCGCCGTCGACGAGGTGACATCGCGCGTGTCGGCTCCGCCGCCATTGCCGGACATTGTTTCCGGCTCGGCGGCGACGTCGCTTGAGCAAGTACCTGTGAAGGCTGACGAGCCGGCGGCACTGGACGTCGAAGCGTTAGAGCCCGACTGGTTCGGCGACATGGACTTGGACACGTACTAC